GACACCTATCAAGAAGATCAAATGGTTTTCTCCTTTTTCTCTGTTAACATAGTGAATTATGTTGATCTACTTTTGAATGGTAAGCCTCTCTTGCATACATGCAATAAACCATACTTAATTGTGCTTTTTAAGAATCTGGCCGAATTCAGCTTGTGAATATTTCATTAAAGACTTTTGGATCTATGTTCATGAGATACGTTGCTAAATAATTTCCCTTTCTTTTTAATGTCCTTGTCAGGTTTTGATATACTGGCCTCATTAAAAAAAAAAAATGAAACATTAGAAAATATTCTTTTTTTTTCTATTCTCTGGAAAAGTTTAGGTAAGTTTGATATTATTTCTTCTTAATTGAGAAAAATAAACAGTGAAGTCATCCATGCCTCAAGTTTTCTTTGTGGAAAAATTTTTACTAACAATTGCTACAATTTCATTACTAGTATCAGACTACTCAGTTTTTATTTTCTTCCGTCAGTTTTGGTAAGCTCTGCTTCTCAATAAATTTTCTCATTTTAACCCAAACTATGTCAAATTTATCATTACAAAATTGTTAATACATTGTTTTTATGCTTTTGAATATCTTCAGTAACTTTTTGATGTACAATGTAATATCCTCTTCTTCATTCTTGATATTGTTGTGTTTTCTTTCTTTTTCTCTTGATCAGTCTTTGCTCATAGAGAGTTCTTAATATTATTTACCTTTTCTAAGAACCAAATCTCAGCTTTGTTGATTTTTCTGTTGTATATTTATATCCTATGTATCGTTGATTTCTGTTTTTCTCGTTACATTATTGTTTGATATGGCATATCCTTGAGATGCAAGCTTGTATTTTTTTGCTTTGCATTTTATTTCCACATATATTTTAAACTCTGAAAGTCATTTCAATTATTGTTTTACATAGTCGATTTATATTTAGCCATATATTTATCCTTTCTACTCTTCTTCATTCCCTCCAGTAGGTCCATGTTTTCATACGCGATCATTTTCCTCTAAGGAAATCTCTTTAGCATTTTTTTTATTTTATTTTTTTATTTTGAGACAGGGTCTCACTCTGTTACCTAGGCTGTAGTAAAATAGTGTGATCTCAGCTCACTGCAGCCTCAACTTCCCAGGGTCAAATGATCCTCCCACCTCAGCCTCCCAAGTAGCTGGGACCACTGGTGCACGTCACCACACTCACTAATTTAATTTTTTTGTAGAGACAGGGTTTCACCACATTGCCTAGGCTGGTCTTGAACTCCTCGGCTCAAGAGATCTGCCCATCTTGGCCTCCCAAAGTGCTAGGATTATAGGCATGAGCCACTAAGCCTGGCCTTAGTATTTGTTTTAATTCAGGCTGATAAATATACTAATAGTGATAAAGTTATTTAGTTATTTTCTTTCTCTATGTCTTTTTTCACTTTCATCGTGACGGATATTTTCCACAGGGCAGAAACATAGGTTGGTAAAATTTTGAATATGACGTTCCATTGTCTTCTGTTTTCCATCATTATTGTTGAGAAGTCAGCTGTCAGTTTCGCTGTTGCTCTTTTGAAGGGAATGCATAAATGATGTGTCTAATTTTAACATTTTCAGCAGTTTTGCTACAATGTGTCCAGGTGTGGTTTTCCCTGTATTTGCCTCTGTTTGGGGTTTACCAAAATTCTAAATCTGTTGGTTGATGTCTTTTATTATTTTGAAATGGACTCTGCCATTGTCTCTTTGAAGGTTAATTTTGTCCCATTCTCTCTCTACTCTGCTTCTGGGACTTTAATTATGCATATGCTAGACCTTTTTTTTTTTTTTTTTTTTTTTTTTTTGCGTATTATATTCCTTTGTGTTCTTTCCATTCTCTTATCTCTGGGCTTCAATTTGGACATTTTCTACTGATATGTCTGAAAGCCCACAAATCCTACATTTGCTTATATTGAATCTAATGTTAAACCTACCCAACTGGCTCTTCACTTCAGATACTGTATTTTCAGTTCTAGAAAGTCCATTTAAATCTCTGTATAGATTTTAATCATCTGGTAAAACTTTCCATCTTTTCATGCATTTACCTATTTTTTCTATATTTTCTTGAAAATATTAATCATAATTATTTTATACTTTTTTAAAAGAGATGTGGTCTTGCTATGTGACCCAGGCTGGAGTGCAGTGGTAAATTCACACGCATGATCATAGTGCACTACAGCCTCAAAGTCCTGGACTGAAGAAATCCTTCTGCCTTAGCCTCCTGAATATCTAGGCCTACTAGTGTGTGTCACCATGTCTGGCTTGTTTCTTTACACAGTTGATTATCAATCATATAGTCTTGTCTCTTTGCAGGCCTCATAATTTTTTTATCATATGACAGACATTGTGTGGGTGGTTTCCAGATTATATTTCACCAGAAGAGGTTTTCCTTTTTCTCTGTCAGGCAAACATGGTGAGTGGCTGATCATGTAAACCTCTTTATAGGGCATGGTCTACCTAGCCTTTTTATAGGAATTTTAGTTTCTTTAGTCCTTATTGCTTCCACAAATCTCTGATGCCCTAAAAATTATAATTATATAAGATATGAAGGTTTTCATAGTTGTAGCTGGGGAAGCACTGGCCTACCACAAAACTATATACTACCCAGAAATGGAAACTCTCTCGTGTTCTTTAAAAGGAAGAAGATGAATGCTCATAAGCTCACAGAATGGTTCTAAATGTGCTCTTCCTGCCACTACTCACTGCAGTTACTATTTATCATAATTGCCAATACTATTCAGAGAGCATGACTAATCACACTGCTGCTCTCAAATTCCCCAGTGTCTGTTAACTGCTCCCCTTACGGGGTCAATAGGGTGAAAATAGGACCAACTGAATGAGAATGCACTGCAAGGCAGACTGCCTATGCTGCAAATGTTTATATATTTAGTGCTTGTTTTGTAGATTTAATTACAGAGCCATGTAAATGTTTTACATTATTATAAAACAAAATTAATTTTTAAAAGCTATTCCTAAAAATATAAAATAAAATGAAACAAATGAAAGTATATGTATCCAGAGTGACATGGCCGCACACAGAGGATCTATTCCAAGTGATTTTTAAACACATAATTTTACTATTGAGATATAGTCTAAGATAGTAAGATACAGTCTAAGAACAAAAATTCCTGCAAAATAATTCTCAAATTTTAATGATCATATTAAGAGTGATAGTCTGATGCTGCTATTTTCAGACTGTTTATTGTGTATGTAACGTATATAAAGGATAGAAAATCAGTGATATTCTATTATTTTTGAGCCATTGAGAACCAAGTTCCTCAGCATGATAGAAGGTGTGTATAGATAATTGAGTTTAAGGATAAATTCTGTTATCTCTGAATTTGATTGGATAAGTATGAATTCATGATGTCTTTTAAGACAAAAAATAATCACATAATACTTAACTCTATGCATGAAAAAAATCTAAGAGATCATGATCACTCAATGGCAATGAGCTCCTCTAGGACACAGACTGTGATCTCTGAAACCTACTAACATTAAAAAAAAGGCTTCTTGAACAAAGGGTTTATTATGTATGGGACTGAAGCTAGATATATACAAGATGAGCCTAGAACAGCATATTACTCTGCATATCAAAACTACTGGAAACGGTCAAAAGAACTCAGGAGTTAATCTGTTATATCTAGATGGTATGAAGATGATAATATATCTACAATATTTATGAGACAATTTGAACTCTGACTTAATATTGGATGATATTAGTTTTTATGTATAAAAGTAATGTAGTTTAAAAAAATCTTTACCATTTAGATAGATATATAATGAAACATTTACAGAGGAAATAATACGATACCTAAAATTTGCTTCAAAATATGGATGGAAAAAAACTAAAGAGAGGTATAGATGAAAGTAGTAGCCATGAGTTAATTACTGTTCAAAGTGGATAACGAGTAAATGAAAGTTCATCATATACTTCTATCTACTTTTGTATATGTTTGAAAAAATTCATGGATGCAGCTGGAAACCATCATTCTTAGCAAACTATCACAAGAACAGAAAACCAAACACCGCATGTTCTCACTCATAGGTGGGAACTGAACAATGAGATCACTTGGACTCGGGAAGGGGAACATCACACACCACGGCCTATTATGGGGAGCGGGGAGTGGGGAGGGATTGCATTGGGAGTTATACCTGATGTAAATGACGAGTTGATGGGTGCTAACAAGTTGCTGGGTGTAGCACACCAACATGGCACAAGTATACGTATGTAACAAACCTTCACGTTATGCACATGTACCCTAGAACTTAAAGTATAATAATAATAATAAATAAATTAAAAAAAAACAATAATTCATTTTCACTCTGATTTGTCTTAACAGATCTGTTGATTCTTGTACATCACTTGCTCTCCCCTGACAATGGCTGTAACGATGGCATAAGTATGGAAAAGGAAAAACGTATACTGACATGGTTTGGCTGTGTTCTCACCAAAATCTCAACTTGAATTGTATCTCCCAGAATTCCCACATGTTGTGGAAAGGACTGAGGGGGAGGTAACTGAATCATGGAGGCCAGTTTTCCCCTTAATCGCTATTCTGATAGTGAGTAAGTCTCATGAGATCTGATGGGTTTATCAAGGGTTTCTGTTTTGCTTCTTCCTCAGTTTTCTCTTGCTGCTGCCATGTAAGAAGTGCCTTTTAACTCCCACCATGATTCTGAGGCCTCCCCAGCCATGTGAAACTGTAAGTCCAATTAAATCTCTTTTTCTTCCCAGTCTCAAGTATGTCTTTATCAGCAGCATGAAAACGGACTAATACATATACCAAAAGATGAATCAAAAAATTTGTCCCCCAATTATCACCCCAATTTGACAAATACTAACTATAAGAATCTCTACTATATACTATTAATGCAACAACTATGAAGTTTAAGTATCTTATTCCAGAATATCCTCAATCGGAGTGTTGCAGTACTATAACACTGATATTCCTCTCTAGCCATACATTTGCTTTAATATAAAATAAGAATTAATAGAGCTATTTACCTTTATTAGATCCTGCTATTGTAGATCTATCTGAAAGTTTAGAATGGGAAATCTGTGTTTCAGATTTTCTTTGCATAGTCATTTCATTTCCAAACCTCTTGGGTTCCAAGTAAAAGACTGTAAATTTCTGCTGAACATCAAGCCCAACTGGAAAATGAAAAAAAGTATACAAATGCTTATTTAATTCATCTAAATCCACATAAGAACACATTTCTTTTTATCTCTCTTATATTTTTATAACTTCTAGAGCTAAGAAGTCCACAAAGTTAAAATATGTTGAAAGGTTAAAAAATATGACAACTAAAAAATTATATATTGATCATTATAAAAATAAAAATCTTCCAACAATAACCGCAATTTAACTATCTAGGAAAAAAAAATCTATAAATGAAAAGATAAACTTTTAATTATGGCATATTGGTCCATGATATCTTTTACATACCTAAATACATGAAACTTCCTTTAAAGTTTATTCACATTATCTAAATATCTTATTTTTGCATTATACCATTTATACTGTTTTTCTGTACCAGTATACAGGATGTAATTTTTAAATGCAATTATGTTATTTATATTCATGTCTTCATTACTTCAATTAACTTACCAAATTCAGAACTTAATAGATTTATGCTAAGATCTTCAGATTTAAGAGCTCTCTTCACAGCAATCTTTTTAGCCCAATTTCCAGCTTTTAGCAAAACAGAATCCCTAAAAAATAGTATAGTTTAAATAGTGATCTACACCCTGAATGAAATACGTATTAATTGTCAAGGGCTGATTGTTCTTAAGAAAGATACTCTCTAGTAGTAAACTGAAATCAATTACTGAAAACTGCTTTCCCCAACTTTTAAGGAGGGAGAATAAAGTATCAATGGAACTCTCTTGCCCATGATTTTTTTTAAATTAATTAATTTTCTTTTTTCTGAGATAGTCTCACTCTTGCCTGGGCTGGAGTGCAGTGGTGCAATCATACCTCACTGCAGCCACAAACTCCTAGGCTCAGGCAGTCCTCCTGCCTCGCTCTCCTGAGGAGCTGGGACCACAGGCACATTGGCACTAAGCCCAGATTATTTATTTATTTATTTTTGTAGAAACAGGGTCTCGCTTGTTGCCTAGGCTGGTCTGAAACTCTGGGCTTTAAGTGATCCTCCTGCCTCAGCCTCTCGAAATGCTGAGATTACAGGTGTGAGCCACCCCATCTGATCCCTAATTTTCTTAATTACAGCTGTTTCCAAGTTACATTTACTCATTTTAGTCCCAATAAGAATATATACTTTGTGTCAATAACACATGTGCTTGCCCCTAAATCACTACCATTTTAAACTGGCTATACGTAAGTTACATGTATTATGAGAACAACTTCCATAGTATTTTTAAATTGGTATAAAATGGTTTGTATCTAATAACATCACAAACAAACCAGCAACCAATTTTATGACTGAACTTATTTTAGTCTCATATAGTCATAGATGTATTAGTCACAGAGAACAAAGATTTGTACAATAGCATATTCTCTGTAAGTGGGTCATGGTTAGCTGCAGGAGAGCAGTTACCAGTGAAAGGGATATCCTGGTCACTGCAGTCCCTTCAGAAACCTTGCATGCGACTTTTTGGGAAGGTATCTTCTAGTATACTGGCACAATTAGGAGATTTCCATTTCAGAATTACAGTCAATCTTGAACTTACAACTACAGTAATATGGTTGGGAGTTTAGGCTCTGGAGTCAAACTGCTTGAGTTCAAATCTAGACTTTGCTATTAATTAGTCATATGACCATGATTAAAGTTTGATTAATCATAAATCAAACTCATCAAACTCTTTTTGTCTCAGTTTCCTCCTCTACAAAATATGGATAGCACCTGTCTCATACAAATATTAAATAATTCAATATTTGGAACCCACTAAGTGCAAAAAATATTAGTTATAGCTGCAACTGATATCCTTAGAGATTGCTTATGACATCCTGGGAGAAAATAATAGTATCTGGAAAACTGCTGAAGTAAAAATTATAGAATGGCATGCTACAGAACTAGATATAAGGGAGGGTACCTCCTCTATACATTTGCTTTGTTTGCTTGGATCCTACAATGGAGCTATAGTAATTTGTTAGATTTTAATTTGGAAGTAGAAGGTATATTTTGAGGACAGTAGAAGAAAGACTGCATCCAAACAGTAGTAGGGCCATGAATGACTGGAGAAAAGCAGTGAAATAAGAAAGACCTCCTAGAGGTAATCTACTCACTTGTTTCAGACCATGGTGATAGATTTTATACTTTGTTCATTTGAGTACTAAATATAACAATTTAAAAGAACAGACCTAATGTTAATATTTTCTTTAATAGAAAAATAGAGAAACTATCCCATTATAGTGTCAGGAAAATGTAATTTAGTTGATCCCACAATGAGCTTGTTATTTTTTTTTCCAGTAGAATTTTTCTTTTACAGTATATGATTAGAAATAAATCAAATACCAGAAATTTCACACTTACATAATCTTGTGCAGATAAACTACTTCATTATCTGCATCACCTATAATTAAGGTAACATAGTGAGAATCCAATGCTGTTCTTTTAGTTTGTAGCTGTTCAAAGTTTCTTAAAATAACAGTTACTAATATTTCTGCCATCGTATCACTATATCTTGTAATCTTTAAAAAAGAACAAGTATAAAAAGTGTTAAAAATAATCTTACTTCTCATACTCAGCTGAAGCCTATTTATGGGTAGCTTTATTTCTGAAAAGACAATAAAATATCTAAGAAACAGAAAATATTTACCTGATCCACTTTAAGTCCATATTTTGGTAGATACATCAGTTTCTTTTATCTGGGTTCCAAAGCGGGATGTCTATTTAAAATCTAAAAATATTTACACCATTATATTCCTACCACAACACTTGAAATTCTTTTAGTAAAATATTTTTTAGAATAAATAGCTTTAATAATGCTTATCACCCAAAACCTTGGTAAGTTAAAATACTTATGACTATGAGAGGGAAAACAACTTTTAATAGAAATAAAGGCAGGCCTCAGAATTTAGCTAGAATTCAGGAATTAGGAATAAGTGAATGTAAATACTAATTCAAGTTCCCTTGCATCTGTCTCTTCTATTTTTTTAAAGGAAGTCAAACCAGCATTTATGATTGCATTTGACAATGTTACACCTGTGGAAAATTAATCAAACAACAACTTAAAAATAATCCACTTTAAATAAAACATATATTTAAATATATAACAACTAAATTAGTAAAAAAGAAATTTAAAGATCCAGTCAAATAAATGAAAGATTTTTGTAAAGGTTTGTGACATTATTCAATTATGCATATTTATTCAGACAAATAAAATATGCATTTGCTTTATAAAAGGAAGAGAAACTCTGGTCCACATGATGGACATTTAGTTTTACTATACGTCATCCATAGGCCAATCACCAAGAGACATGCACTTTTGTACTCATGCCTGAAAGAAAGGCAACATGATTCAAGGATCATGCTCGAATGAAGCAAGGGAATACTGCTTCATGAAGCTATGGCTCTCTGACCATTTCTGTCTTAGAAATACAGTTCTATGTTTCTGTACCTAAACCAGACTATTTTACTCTACTGCCTAAAACTTCCAATACTTTTCCACTGCATTTAGAATGAAGTGGTAATTTCCTTACCAGGGCCAAATTTCCTTACCTATATGAAATGACTACAGCCTATGTCTCAAATCTAATTTCATCTAACTCTCCTCTTGCTGACTACTCTCCAGTCACTCTTGCTTTCATTTTATTCCCCAAATACATCAAATTCGGTCGGGCCCAGTGGCTCATGCCTGTAATGCCAGCACTTTGGGAGGCCAAGGTGGGCGGATCACCTGAGGTCGGGAGTTCGAGACCAACCTGACCAACATGGAGAAACCCCGTCTCCACTAAAAATACAAAATTAGCCAGGCGTGGTGGTACATGCCTGTAATCCCAGCTACTTGGGAGGCTGAAGCAGCAGAATCGCTTGAACCCTGGAGGCGGAGGTTGCAGTGAGCCAAGATCGTGCCATTGTAGTCCAGCCTGGGCAACAGAGCGAAATTCCATCTCAAAAACAAACAAACAAACAAACAACAACAAAAAAACAAGTTCTTTTTCTTCTTTGGATCCTTCCTATTTCATTATACCATCAGAAGGCAGAATTAAAAATTCTTAAATGCTTATGAATGAATTTATCTAAATCACCAAACAGAAGATACTGAGCAGTATAAAATTACAAAATATTACTACCTTGTCTAAGGCACATATATTACATGTATTACTGGTGAAGACATGACCCTATTTCCTTACTCATATATTTACTTGTTCTCGGGAATTTCTCTCAGGTCTTCTTAAGACACAGCTTCTAGTACTCATAATTCCTTAATGTTCATTTCATTTTCCTCTGAAAATGTTTATTGACTTTTAACTTTTTAGTTTATAGCCACCATTAAAATCAATTTCTATGCATTATTTTTTTCAAGATGCTCAATAACATATTGGATTTGACTTTTTGTTTGGATTCTCTCACTTTTCTAGTATATGATTTTTTTTTCTGGGCAATGTTTGCTTTTTTCTGTTCAGCTGTAATGAGTATGTGTGAAAACAGGTTAGTTTCACCAATCTGGAAGGGACAGAATGCAATAGATGCCCATATTGACAATACTCTAGAAAGCCAGAAAGATTGGCTTTTTCAAGTATAATGAAATTTACTAGTAATCACTTAGCCAAATTTCAAAATTTTCTAAATGTTGTATGGAACCACCTTTCCAATTGAGAACTCTTGCCTTTGTGGGATGGATGTGGTATTTGGTTACCAGGACTTCTGTAAGAAGGTTAGCCTTTCCATCAAGAATCTCTCCCCTTACTTTCACCAGCCAATCTCCCCTTCACCCCAGCTCCCATGACTTCCTAGTCAGCCCTCTGCCATCCCACTGATTTCAAATTTCACAGATACAAAAGGTAGGATTTCTTCATAAACAGTTGGTAATCTTTGTCCAAATAAATAACAAAATATCTCTAAAAATCCATTATTTAATTTGTTGATACCCCCAAGATGCATACAAAATTGTAAAATAACAAGGCTGTCAGTCATGAGATAGTGACTCTCTTTTTAGAATTCTAGCTATCTAAGAAGAAATAGGGTCACAAGGTCACAGGTACCAAACAGGAAAATCCTTTGTAAGTGGTACTCCCTATCGTCTCAGAGCACACACTACACAAGGTTCCTATAGACAAAATAATCAGGCACAATCTTTTGTCTATGGAATCTCTATGAAAATCAGTATTAATACCCTACTGTTATTGAAAACAAAAAAAAAATTAAGACATAAAGAAGTGACATAATTTTCTGTAATGAATTAGGAATGGCTAGGACTGCTGACTCTGTACCTTGTAATTGAGATCAAAACAAAATATTAGTCATAAAAGTGGAAGAGAGGGCATCACATAGTTACCTAATTACTATAACCAAATTTCCCCCTTGTTATGAGAAACAATTTTCAAATGAGAGCATTAATTTTTATTAGGTTTCTCATGTACTCGTGTACCATTCAGTTGATTTCAAATGGCAACCTTTAAGCAGGAGCAAATGAAAATCAGATTTTTGAAAGTAAAGTACAGCACTTATTTAAGCCTACAAACACATATCTTCCTTGAAGGTATGTAATCATCACAGAATTTTACTAACAGTGAATACAAAATAAATTGCAGACATGGCCAAACTGCCTGCCTGTATTCAGTACCTACCAATTTTTTCCAGTTGTTTGGATACATGCAGAGAGTTTTCCCAAAGTTTACACCTAAAACATTTAGCTAAAATCAAACTATTCAATAGTACGGTGAACTTCTTTTCTTGAGCAGCTACAAAATCTGATAACCCTTAAAAAAAGTTTCCAATATTAAATCTAATATACCAGTTTATTGGAAAAAATATTTAAAATCCACTAATCCTGTAACATACGTCTTGTAATTCGGGAGCCATGTCTGAAAATCTTTGCGGTATTTTGTGTCAAAGCAAAATCTTGTATGGGAATGCATCCTAGTTGAGCCTGAATAAGACTGGGGGAAAGAAAAAAATTGTTACTCCCTTTTAAGGGTTATCTATCTTACAGTATTTGACATCACTCACTGAAGTATTCCTTCTTAAAACTTTTCTCTGCCTTAATTTCTGCAATACTACATGATTCTCTATCTTGCACAGTTATTATTGCAGGTCAATAATAAAAGTTCCTTCCCTTTTCCCCAAATCCTCAAAGTTGTCTTTATTTATTTATTTATTTATTTATTGCTCTTCTTTATTCACTCTCTCTCTCTAAAATATCTCATTTCTTCTCAGACTTTCATTATAATCTCTAGATTGATAAAAATTACAGGAGACTTTCACTTAGACTGTTAATCTCAACTATCTCAAATTGTTTTCATATTCTCCTCCAATAGAGTTCTATTTTTGGACTCTACTATTTCTTTTCAAGGAATTAGAGAAAAATAATACAACTTGTTTAATCAACAAATTTTTATTAAATGCTTATTAAGTGCCAGGCATAATATTAGGTGCTGATAATTCTGTACAGTGTATGAAGGTCAGTAGCATATAAGCTGGTTATTCTAAACCAGCAGTTGCTTAGCTACTAAATTTGAGGTGTTAGTTGTATAAGAGGAAAAAAGACACTAGTGCCTGTGTGCCTACTATATCCCAAGTTCTTTGCTACCTGTTTTGCCAATAAACTTACATAATCAGGCAATGACATGCAAATCACTGATGGTTCTAACTAAAATTACTGTCCGTATTATTACTCTCTTAAGGGGATCTCTTTTAAAAAACAAATTTCTTCCTACACTCCTCAGTAGAAGGAGATCTCCTGACAAGACCAAAACAGTCAGCTATACAAAGAAAAAGGGTAGAATAATTATATTTCACGATTTAGTTTAGCAGAAGATACATGAAAATTGAAAGAAGTAATCAACTCTCTTCCTGGAATGGATGTATACAGCAGAAATTTAAACTATTCACTTTTTTTGGCTATGGTATATGCTTCTGAAAATTATTTTATATCATCTATTAAGAAATAGTTACAAAGATACACAGTATACTATCAAAGAAGGAACTGATGGAAAAATGTAAATGGGGTGCTTTTAAATGCTAGGTAAATAAAACTCCTTGTTAAGCTACCTAGGGATGTACAAATGTGGAGTACAAAATTGCTGAAGTAAAAATAAGACTTTTCAAGTAATATTTATTTATATTAAAAAGCAATATTTCTAATAATAAATAGGACACTTTTCAACATCATACTTCCCTGTCAGAAATCTTACTTCAAGAAGCAGTAATAAAACAGGGATAGGAGGAAGGACAGGGATTTAAGCTAGTAGGTACAGAACCATGGCAGGGCTCTCTGTTTCTCTGCACCAGGTAAGGCAAGCAGTGATGTCCTGTGATCTTACCCCTGAGCTTGTCCTCAGTAGAAATAGAAGTGCCACAGCCTCAGGTGAAGTGGCACCTCTACCACCTCAACTAACAGGGGCAGAGTTACATGGTAGTTATGACTAACCCAGGGTTAGTAAAAGCATTAAATGAGATAAAGTATTGATTCGGTTAGAATTACATTCATGATCAGACCATATCAGTCTACACACAAACAGTTCATTCTTGTGTGTAAAAGGGGAATCCAGAGTTGGGAAGTCCAGGGCTTCGTATGGTGGCTCCGTATCACACCCTGTCAGTTCGCTGAAAAGTACCAGTTAAAGAAAACAGATCTAGTGCTGAAGAGGGAAGACCTAGGCATTAAAGCTAGGAAGAATTTTAAAATAACCTTAAATTAAAAGGGCAGAGCCAGGCACGCTGACTCACATCTGTAATCCCAGCACTTTGGGAGGCTGAGGCAGGTGGATCACTTTTGAGGTCAGGAGTTTGGGACCAGACTGGCCAACATGGTGAAACCCCGTCTCTACTAAAAATACAAAAATTAGCCAGGTGTGATGGTGTGCTCCTGTAATCGCAGCTACTCTGGAGGCTGAGGCAGGAGAATCGCTTGAGCCCGGGAGGCAGAGGCTGCTGTGAGCTGAGATCATGCCATTGCACGCGAGCCTGGGCCACAGTGCAACACACTGTCTCAAAATAAATAAATAAATAAAAACAATAAAAAGGGCAGAAACCAGAAACTTTAAGGTTAAAATCCTAAAACTAAGAGGATTAACATCTACTTGGAGAAGAACAGATTCAGCAAAGTAACGGATATGACAAAGCCATGAAAAAGGTAACTATGAGCCATCATCACCTACCAAAAGACTATAAATTTTGTATTAAGACCCATCCATCCCACACATACACACATTCTCTCTTCTTGGCTATGCTTAAATAAGATGCACAAAGGCGTGAAATGATAATGGGAATCTAAATTATGATATGTATAAAAACAATTATAAAGTATAATAATTAACTTTAAAAGTTGACAGCTTCAATCAAAAGAATATACTACCCAATTTAAAGCAAAGTTAATGGAAGCACTGAAAGTGCAAATAAAGTGTTCCTAAGAAAATGAGTGTGGAAAAATACTTGATTTAATTTGACTCAATAATTTATGCAACACATTACACTGGGGGAAAAAATGAGAAAATCAAGAGTTCTAGATAGCAACATAACCTTGGCAAAGTCATAACTTATCTGGGCATCACTTACATCATTTGTAAAATGAGAGAATTGGGCTATATGATCTCTTAAGTTTACTATGATCTCTAAGGATATATGAATTTATGGAAATAAATATTTGAATATAGAAGTACAGCTAAAAAAATAAATACTAACTTCCGTGGTACAAGCTACAAATCTGCCTGATGAGTTGTAAACAACGAGAAGACTGTTTTATAGACTTAAAGGTATTTGGAAGATAAAATTTAATGAGATGTCAGGAAGAATCCCAAAGAAAGAAAGACCTCCTCTAGCTATGGAGGAAAAAGAAATTCTTTGGCTAATTGGTTTTATTGAGCCACATTTAAAAAGATCATTTCACCTTAAATTACATAACACTAAGACCTACATCCTCAGAAAGCCAAGCACTCTGCATAGCAGAAAACAGTATCATTGCATTTGTGACTGCAAACTGCTAAAAGTCACAGGTTACAGTGTAACCTTAATTTACTCTTTCCATTACTAGTGTCTGTACAAACTCCCCATTTTTTGGCAGAATAGTCATCCACTGTCACATATACACTACTTTACTCATGTTTTGCTTTTACTCTTTGTCTCTCCCAGAACACCATTACTATTCAGTAGATATTTATCACACAGGTTTTCATACCGTCCATTATTTTTAAATGTATTACTCTCATTCAAGCTAACTTGAAAGCTCCTGACAATGAGAAGCATAAGAAGCACGTCTTCATTCAACCGTCCACCTTGCCTCAACAAAACACACACTTAACAAATGTTTGTTAAGAAAAAGCATTCACAAATCATCAATTTTAAAGTCTGAGAGTTCTAAGAAATTAATTTCACAACCACATTCTGACTCATTTTTATGTAATTTTTTCTGTATTAAGAAAAACAATTTAAATTTGTTTTAAAACCAAAAAAAGAAAACTTTCATAAATATGAATCATCTTTACCAATTTACTTTCATTTCTTTTGTTTTAATTCTTCCTTCCATTGGGAATGTGTAAATAAAACCACATGGTAAAACATTGATTATTATTTATTTTAATTAAATAAAACCTCTTAAAATTATTTAAAACATATGCAATTTCTGTACCTGGTAGTTATCCAATTTAGATCTTTGTTCAAAGTATTCAGTGTTTTCTTTTCATTATCCTTAACTGTATATCTAGAAATTCCTTGCAGCTGGCTATCAATGTAACCTATAACATTTCAGCAGTTGTCCATTTAAAGAAGTCTATTTTTTGTTTATTTCCTCTCATCCTTTCTCCAAATTTATTTATTTTTCTAACTGCCTTAAACCATCACAGTTTTATCAATTAACAGAGTTAAAAACCTGCTTTATACATTTTGCTTCTTTAAGGATTCATTCATTCACTAGCAAATGCTTACAAACTCCTATTATATACCAGACACTGCATTAGATACCGGGACTATACCAACAGGACTTGAACGATTAACAAGATAGAATTAAAAATATCTAGCCCAGTGCCGATCACATAGTAATAAATAAGTCCTCAATAAACATTGCTTTTGTTACTACTACTACTACTACTACTACTACTACTACTACTACTACTGCTGCTGCTGCTGCTGCTACTACTGCTATTCTACTGTTCTATAGTTTGCAAATCGTTATCTCAATTTGATAATTTTGTCATAGAAAGAATGTTTTAGATATTAGGAAATTTGGATTCTAGAGCCTACTTCTGACAGATGACAAACAAAGTAGTCTCTGTGCTTTGGTTTCCCATATATCTAAAATGGAACTAACATTTGTTAGTTAGAACAGAATAAAGAACCCAGAAAGACATCCATACACATCCAGTGAACTCATTTTTGACAAAGGTGCCAAGTACATACATTAGGGAAGACAGTCTCTTCAATAAAAGGTGCTGGGAAAACTGGATATCCACATGTAGAAAAATGAAACTAGACCCCCTATCTCTTGACATACATAAAAATCAAATCAAAATGGAGTAAATACTTAAATCTAACAACTCAAACTACAAAACTACTACAAGAAAATATTAGGGAAACTCTCCAGGCCATTGGTCTGGGCAAAAATTTCTTGAGTAATACCCCACAAGCACAGGCAACCAAAAATGGACAAATGGGAACATATCAAGTTAAAAACCTTCTACACAGCAAAGGAAACAATCAACAAAGTGAAGAGAAAACCCACAGAATGGGAGAAAATATTTGCAAACTACCCATCTGACAAAAGATTAATAACCAGAATATATAAGGAGCTCAAAAAAACCTATAGGAAAAAAATCTAATAATCCAGTTGAAAAACAGGCAAAAGATTTTAATCAACATTTCTCAAAAGAAGACATACAAACAGCAAACAGGCATTTGAAAAGGTGCTCAACATCACTGATCATCAGAGAAATGCAAATCAAAAGTACAATGTGATATCATCTCACCCCAGTCACAATGGCTTTTATCCAAATAACAGGCAATAATAAATGCTGGAGAAGATAAGAAGAAAAGGGAACCCTTGTACACTGTTGGTGGGAATGTAAATTAGTATAACTACTATGGAGAATAGTTTGGAGGTTCTTCAAAAAACTAAAGAGAGAGCTACTATATGATCCAGCAATCCCACTGCTGGGTATATACCCCAAAGAAAGGAAATCATTATATCAAAGAGGTATCTACACTCTCAGTGTTTATTGCAGCACTGTTCACAATAGCCAAGATTTGGAAGCAACTTAGTGTCCATCAACAGATGAATGGATAAAGAAAACGTGGTACATATGCACAACGGAGTATTAGTGAGCCACAGAAAAAATGAGATCCTATCATTCGCAACAACATGGACAGAACCACAGGTCATTATGCTAAGTGAAATAAGACAGGCACAGAAAGCCCAACATTGCATGTTCTTACTTATTTTTGGAATCTGAAAATCAAAATAATTGAACTCATGGACATAGAAAGTAGAAAGATGGTTACCAGAGGCTGGGAAGGGTAGTGACAGGGTGGAGGGGAGGTTGGTGGGGATGATTAATGAGTACAAAAAAAAAAACCAGAAAGAATGAATAAGACCTAGTATTTGATAGCATAATAGGGTGACTATAGTAAATAATAATTTGAGTATACATTTTTAAATAACTTAAAGAGTATAATTGGACTGCTTGTAACACAAAGGATAAATGCTTGAGGGGATGGGTTTTCCATGATATGATTATACGCATTGCATTCCTGTACCAAAATATCTTATGAACTCTACAAATATATATATTTATTATTTACCCACAAAAATTTTAAAATAATTTAAAACATTTTCTTAGCATGTACTTTGTGCCTATAATGCCACCAGGCACAAAAGACACACCAAAAAATGTAGAAGACACAATCTCTAGAACTTATAGGTTGGCTAGGAAGATAACTACATGCCAAGTACCTAGAGGACAAAAAATCAGCTAACGTTAGTATTTACATAACTGGAGTATGGAGAAAGTCAAACCTAAGAGGAATGGTCAGTGTAGAATGGCCTACTACAAATAATGGATCTTGAGAAGGGTTTTTAAAGTGACCAATATGGTTTGGTAGAGAGGAAATAATGCAATTATGACCTTGGGGAAAATCCTGTTTATCCAAAGAGTAAAGTTAAAAAGACTATCTTTAGAATACTGTAATGATGGCTGGAAATACATATGGCTTGATAGTGATTATGAGTCCTGATCAAACTGAGTTGATTAGAATCCCTGCTCCTTCTCTTATTGGGCAGGAAAGTGATCATGTACAAGTTACGTGACCAGGTTCTTAATGTAATGTGGGAATAATAAAACCACCCACCTCAGAAGTTTGTTGTGGAGAAGATTAAGTGCAATTAAAAATAGGTATATAATACTTAGCATGGTGCCTAATATTTAATAAGTGTTATCTATTTTTATTATTAAAACATGACAAATGATAAACTAGAGAGGCCCTGAAAGAGCCCTCAAATGATATTAAAAGAAGTTATATTTTGGATTTGATTTGTAAAATAACAGGTGATCACTTAAAATTCTTGAGCAATATTTTACTTAAATTGGATTCTGAAAATAATTATATTTCAGAAAAAGAACAGCAGATTGGTTGTGGGTAGGAGTACGGGAGAAGTGGGGGTAAGTAACTGATGAAATGGAATTCACTTAAGAGGTTACTGGATTCGGCCGGGCGCGTTGGCTCACACCTGTAATCCCAGCACTTTGGGAGGCCGAGGCAGGTCTATCACGAAGTCAGGAGTTCGAGATCAGCCTGGACAAGATGGTGAAACCCTGTCTCTACTAAAAATACAAAAATTAGCTGTATGCGGTGGTGGGCACCTGTAATCCCAGCTACTCGGGAAGCTGAGGCAGGAGAAATGCTTGAACCAGGAAAGTGGTGAAGGTGGAGGTTGCAGTGAGCCGAGATTGTGCCACTGCACTCTAGCCTGGGTGACAGAGCAAGACTATTAAAAAAAAAAAAGTTACTGGATTCAATTATAAGTTGTCTAGAAACATTCCAAAGAATGTCAAGCCTTACGAACACATAGAAAACAGCTGGGAAGAAGAAAGTAGCATACTGCTTCTCAAGGAAAGGGCTAACATTTATGCATGTACTAAATGTTTTGCTGAAGAAGAAAAGATTTTTTGGCATTCCAACAGAGTTACAAGCATCAAGGACATGGTACAATAGATAAAACTAACAATCAGGAATAAAGAAGTAGCCAGGCTCTCAGTTAGGAGCCTGGTGAATATGTTCAGCCAACATGTGAATAATGGATTAGTTCATAAAAAGGAGCTTCTGAGAGAAGTGTGTGAGATATCAAGATTATGATCACCAAGGGAACTAGTTAACCATTGCAGTATATGTAAAGATGGTCTTCTTACCCTAGATATTTATAAAAAGTTAATATAAGGTCTCTTCCTATTAGAGAAAATGAAAGGTTTTAAGAAAAGACTTAATACTTGTTGGCTTATTAGTAGAGATGGAGCTTTCCTAGGTAAGACAGAAAAATATAACCTACAAAGGAAAGCATAAGGAAAATGAGTCAAAGCAGAGGGAAGGAAAGGAAATTTTTAAAGATTTGCAAGTAAAGCGAGGAAATAAACAACTTGTTATTAATATAGATATTGAATGATTAATATCCTTATAGGAAATTCAGGATATTTCAAAGTAAAGATCATAAAATAGAGTGGTGGGGAGCATGGAGGCCACGAGAATGTACCCTTCAGAATTGCTACTGCAAGAAGTGTCAGTGACTGATGGCCCCAGCTGCTGTGCTCTGAATCATCATCATGTTTACACCGAGATCTACTTTTATGAGATGCCTCCAACCAATGACTGAGTACAGCAGGGATGCTAAGGTAGATCTATGAGAGTTCCTATCAACTTTGACACATGTTCTTGGGATTGCATTGCAGGCTAAGACCCCTCTCTCCCTCCCTCTCTCCCTTTCTCCTTCCCTCCTTGCAAGCTAAGATCCTCCAGGGGCTTTCTCTCTCCTATCCTCCTTGGAGGCTAAAATCCCTCCTGCCCTCCCCTCCTCCCTCCCTTCTTGCAAGCTAAGATCCCTGCCTCCCTCCCTCCTTGCAGGCTAAGATCTATCTCCCTCTCCCTCCCTCCCTTCCTTCTCCCTTCCTTCCAGAGTTACTGGATTCAATTATAAGTTGTCTAAAAACATCCCTTCCTCCATCCCATCCTTCCTTCCTCCCATACTTTCTCCCTCTCTGCCCCACCACGTTCCCTCCCTCCCTCCCCTCACATTCCTTCCTATCCTCCTTCCCTTTCTCTCCTTACCTCCATCCCTTCCTTTCCTACTTCCCTCTATCCCTTCCTTTCTTCTTTCCCTCTATCCCTATCTGTCAAAGAGGTAAGATCTGCATCCCAGTTTAATGACTCTTGCAGACTCTTGCGGTTACTACCTATCTTCAGAAGGTTAATCTCTCTTAAATTCACAGTAGAAATTCAACAACAGAAGCCGGGAAGGTTGCAGATTAAAAGGAATGCTTCTACACTGTTGGTGGGAGTGTAAGTAAGTTCAACTACTGTGGAAGACAGTGTGGTGATTCCTGTAAGACCTAGAACCAGAAATACCATCTGACCCAGCAATCCCATTACTATAAGACCCAGAACCAGAAATACCATTTGACCCAGCAATCCTGTTACTGGGTATACCTACCCAAAGGAATGTAAATCATTCTTTTGTAAAGAGACATGCACATGGATGTTCACTGCAGCACTGTTCACAATATCAAACCTAAATCAACCTAAATCCCAATCAATGAAAGACTGTATAAAGAAAACGTGGTACATATACACCATGGGATACTATGTAGCCATGAAAAGGAATGAGATATGTCCTTTGCAGGGAAATGGATGGAGCTGGAAGCCGTTATCCTCAGCAAGCCAACACAGGAACAGAAAACCAAGCACCGCATGTTCTCACTTATAAATGGGAGCTGAACAATGAGAACACCTGGACACATTGTGGGGAACAACACACACTGGGGCCTGTTGGGGAGGGTGAGGGGAAGGAGAGCATCAGGAAGAATAGGTAATGGATGCTGGGCTTGATACGTAAGTGATGGTATGATCTGTGCAGCAAACCACCATGCCACATGTTTACCTGTAACAAATCTGCATGTCTGCACATGTACCAGAACAGTTGAAGGGGGAAAAATTGGCCTTTTGAGCCCTTCTCTCAGTACACATTACCTGGCAAGACAGGTAAAATCCTCAATTCAAACATACAGATGAAAATACCCAGATACTTGAGTATTATGATTACAACCTAAAAAACAAAAACTATACGAAGCAGAATTATAGGGACATACAAACTAAAAACTGATATACAAAAAATAAACTCAAAGAGACAAAATAAAGTATAAGTAATATGAAGGAATAAGAAGTCATAAAAATGAATTAATTAGAAATACTATGTAAGAAAATTAAATCTAAATTAATAACAG